GAGCTGTTCTACCACTGACTTAAGCTCTTAGAGGCCACACAACAGTAGCCAAAATTGGTATGAAGGTACTTCTAATAGTAGTAATTCCTGATTACTGGCCCGAAGACTCCCAGGGGATGCTGCTGCAGAAAGCACAAAAACAAATTCAATTTGTTTTGTAAATAACAGATTTGTATCTATCCTGAAATCAAATGTCACCTTATTATAAGCTTCAGAGGGGTAGCCATGTTAGTCTGTAATTGGAAAAACTTAAAAAACAATGAATAGTCGAGCAGCATCTTAAAGAGTAATCTGTTGTTAGTCTTTAAAGTGCTGCTAGACCAGGGCTACTCAACATGTGGCCCGCGGCCTGTTTGTTTGTGGCCCACAAACAAACCGGTTTGGGTTTACGCGGGACTCAACATGTGGCCTGCAGGTGGGATCCTTTGAACATGGCCACCACTGGGAACAGGCTCCACAATGGCAAGGCATCTCACAGGCAGGGTGAACATTGAAAGACGCAAGTGGACGGACTTGGCTGAACAGACGGGTACAGTGTGACAGCGTTTCTAGCCCCCATGGAGAAGGTGCAGGGAGCACTGGGGCATTGTGGGAAGTGCTTTGTATTCATGCCTGTCAGTGTGAAAGAAGATATTTTCATATATTTGCATGTATATGAACCACACTTAAGTTATGGCCCTCAGCATGTGCTATGAGTATCATTTGGCTCCCAGAGTTTCCAAAGTTGAGTAGCCGTATGCTAGACTATTCGTTGTTTTTACCTTACTATACATTCACAGTAAAACCTTGAGAATCATCAGTTTGCTCATCTCAAATCCAAATCCTCATTAACACTCTTGTAGTCTTACTCTGTCCACTTCTTTGTGACGATTTAACAGCCAAGTATTGTAGTGAAATCTGATAAGATTAATACTTATTATTTATAAAATACATTATGATGCATATTATTTATAATTCAACCAACTATACATGTAAAAACACCAAAATCCTTTTTGTGCTGCAGTAGTTTTGAGTTTGTGTTTTTCTGCTTACTTGCTTATTTGTAAAGTTTGCTGATTTACTATGACTCTCCCAATCACCAATGTTAGTTAGTGAGTTTCTACTACATAAGACGTTTTCTGTAGTAGATCTTCATTACTATATTTGGCACTAATATGGTCAGCATTATTCTTAAATATACTTTTTTTTTAAACCGAGAAAAAATATTTTTGACCTTAACATCTAGTAACAGCACCTGCCCGCCTTGTGGCCATGGTCCCGATCCCAGCCTGAGCAACTGCCTGCCTGCCCACGATGCAGCCCTGGCCCTGGTCCTAGTCCAAGCCAGAGCAGGCACCTGCCCACCTGCCTTGCAGCCATGGTCTCAGTCCCAGTCAGCCGGCAGGAGCAGCCCCATCTCCTACGTGGCTCCTTCACCCTGGCCACCCGAGCAGCTGCCTGCCTGCCTCCCGCCACTCTGCTGCATGACTCTGCTTAGGAGGTGGGTGAGGTAAAAATTTCCTCTGTTCATGTGCAAGCACGCCCCGTAGAGGGAACTTTAGTTCTGGTCACATTGGAACTGTGCACCTGGGTGCTGTGTCAAGTCCCTTTGACTGAGTCTTCCCAGAGCTGAGTATATCTCAGTGTCTGTATTGCTCTGCTGTGGACTGCGACCCCAACTCTGCACCATTTCTAGGGTAGACCAGATGTTCTAGCTCAGCAGGACAGGTGGCGGGGTGTCCAAGAGGACAGGTAGGCAGGTTCAGATGTGGTGTGAACAGCACATCACATGACAGTCCCAAGGGGATCTCTGTGACTGAACTCGTCACACAGAGTCTCCCTCTTCCCAGGTGACTGCACTAGCTACCAGGACATGGACTATTCCTGGGTCAGGTTTTCTTTCCTTCTCTCATGTTATTTTGCGAAAAATTTCAGAAGGTCACATTTTTGTTCAGAACAAAAACAGATGTCCAAACCTCAATATTATTTACTTATTTATTTTTGCAAAACAGAATTCTTGTTTTCTGGCCAACCCTAATTTGGGGTGTCTGGATAACCCATGCTCTGAAAATCAAAGACCTTCCAGTGTCTCAGGCTGGCCTCCCCAAACTTGAGAGCCAAAAAAACCACTAGTTAATTTTTGAACATCTTGGCCACAATATTTAAAAAAACAAAACAAAAAAAACAAATCTCTTTTAATTGCTACATTAGATTGACAAAAACAAAGACCCCAATGTCTATACTAAGACACGGTTCGAAGATTTGACATTGCTAACGTATTTGTTTAGCTAACGTAACTGTTTAAATATAGTTCTTGCTAGGAAGATGCTAACAAGTTGACTGGTCCCAGATAGACAGATCAGATTACCCAAAACTGTATGAGGATGAGGAATGTCAGGAATAGTGCTGTAGTAGCCACCAAAATCCTCACATCCGCTCATATTTTTGTCCCATTTGGAAATGCAGTACCTTCTGATTCCCTCCAATGGGTGGCTCCTTTTAGAGAGTATGTCTAGACTACATGGCTCCGTCGACAGAGCCATGTAGATGAGTTTAATAGATGAAGGAAAATGAAGCGGCGATTTAAATAATCGCTGCTTCATTTACATCAAAATGGCCGCTGCGCTGTGCCGATCAGCTGTTTGGCGGCACAGTGGGGCAGTCTGGACGCACCGTGGTTGACAAGGGAAGCGTTTGTCGACCGCTCCAGTAAACCTCATTTCACGAGGCATACCGGAGCGGTCGACAAAGGCTTCCCTTGTCGACCGCAGCGCGTCCAGACTGCCCCGCTGTGTCACCAAACAGCTGATCGGCACAGCGCAGTGTCCATTTTGATGTAAATGAAACAGCGATTATTTAAATCGCCGCTTCATTTTCCTATGCCTAGTAAACTCATCTACATGGCTCCGTCGATGGAGCCATATAGTCTAGACATACCCTGACTGACAGACACTGTGGGAAGAGCAAGTACACAGCTGTGCACCTCTATTACAGCCTCCTTAGTGGTAGTGCTGAACAGTCCCTCTACTCTGAAAACCCATCTGTAAGTACAAAAATAAGAGGCGGATATCTGCACCCGCATATGTGGATATCAAGCCACAGATTTGCAGGGTTCTAGATACAAAATTTGTAATCACATCCACATCTGTATCTGCAAAAATGAGCAGCACATATTCACGAATTTGCAGGGCCCTAAAAAGCACCCTAACTTGCAAAATGGTAACTTTTGTTCTTTTCTGTTTGAAAGGAGAAGGACCCTGGTTCCCTGAAGCTCTCTCTGGGTATGTCTACACTACCCTCCTAATTCGAAGTAGGAGGGTAATGTAGGCATACCGCACTTGCAAATGAAGCCGGGATTTGAATTTCCCGGGCTTCATTTGCATAAGCCGGGCGCCGCCATTTTTAAATCCCGGCTAGTTCGAACCCCGTGCCGTGCGGCTACACGCGGCATGGAGTAACTAGTTCGGATTAGGCTTCCTAATCCGAACTAGCTGTACTCCTCGTGGAATGAGGACTACAGCTAGTTCGGATTAGGGAGCCTAATCCGAACTAGCTACTCCGTGCCGCGTGTAGCCGCGTGGCACGGGGTTCGAACTAGCCAGGATTTAAAAATGGCGGCACCCGGCTTATGCAAATGAAGCCCGGGAAATTCAAATCCTGGGCTTCATTTGCAAGTGCAGTATGCCTACATTACCCCTCTAGTTCGAACTAGCGGGGTAGTGTAGACATACCCTCTCTCTCTCTCTGTAGCAGTTGTAGCTTGCCAGTAAACCAACTAAACAGGGGGAGAAAGGACTTAGGATCCATCCACAAAGAATAGCTTGAGAGAAAAGGAGAGCTTGTTTGTGTATTCCCCATACATCCCTCCACCCCAACTCCTGTCTACAGTGAATCTTGCTACTCTCTTTCCTCATGATCAGCTAGCCCAGTACAGAACCAGGCCAGGAAGTTGTAAGGAATTACCGGATCCTTTACCTCCACAAAAAACTTTCCAGGACTTAGCCTAAATGAGTAGAAGTGGGTTAAAATCAAAGAAAATACTGATGCTACCTGGACATCTAGGAGATTTTCAGAAGTACTTTTCTTATCATGCTGTGAACTCTGCACAGAGCTCCCTAATAAGTATTTTGATGCTATTAGCCACATTGGCCATCATTCTGATCATATATGCCAGCTGATGTTGGGTTTAGGTTTTCTATTTTGACAACCATTGTAATTGTTGCTTGATCCCAGTCACTCTTTCACCTGACTCTTGTACAGTTTTCCAACTGCACAGCCTCTTCAGCAATTATATGTAATATCCATTGCTACCCAGCACAGTCTGACTTACCACTAGAATAATTTTATCCATTTGTTGGCTTGCAGCACACTGAAGTTTCAAAGGAATCTTTCTGACGGAAGACCAAGAACAAATTTAATGGTCTTTTAAAATCTTAAATTACGATGTGTGCTTTCCATGTGGCAAATGTCCATTTCCTCCAGAAGAAGTTATGTAATTTAGAGGGTGTGTGGGGGAAACTAGTTTCAGTCAGGATGACTTGTGCCAAAGGAAAATCATGCTACTTTCAATAAACTGAAGCAGTATTATCAGCCAGTTTCTGCAGCAAAACTCTTGAAATTGTGGAAATCGGAGAAAAAATACTTTGAAACACAGTCACATGTAGGCACCTAGACATCATTTCATTATGCAGCAATAGATTCTGGCCCTGTGTAGTTTTGATCGAGCTCTGAAACTCACATGAAAAGTATACAGTATCCCAACACTGTTAACCAGTTCCTGAAGTCTTTACTCAGGCAAATTCCTACTTAAATCCAGTGAAGCCAAGAGGAGTTTGCTTGAGTTGGGACTGACTACGGATTTCAGGAGGCTGCTGCTAAGTCCTGTTTCCAGAAGCCTTCCCCATGGAGTTGTAGAATAAGTTTTATGGTTATACACAAGTAAATTAGTTACATCTGTGAAGCTATAATTTTGACCATATGCTAGACAAATATCCCACAGATGAAAAGGATGATCTACTTACCTGGCAGGTATTGCTTCCTAGGACATGTACAGAATTAAACTGTTTCATGTGCATTCGAGCACTTGTAATATCCCTGAGAGACTTAAAGATACTGTCCACTGCAACCGTGGCCTTCTCAAATGTCAGGTGAAGAGACGATTCACAGCCTGAAACAATATAGAAACACATGTTTGTGTGAGCAAAGATCTTTCCATTTTTTTGATAATAAACAGCAGGAAAAGAATGATGAGGAGGAAATTTTAAATTAGTTTAATATTTTTACACTTTAGAAACCAGCATGTATTGCATATACAGCATGCTCACCTTATAGAATAGCTCAGTAAAGCAGCCATAAAATCTAGAGGGTAAACAAAGCCAACAGTAGATGATTTAATGTGCATCTTGGATAATGAAACAACTTAAAACCAATGCAATCAATCTGGTTGGTACAGCAGGCAGAAGAGGTAATTATGTAGAATGTTCCCTGTAAGCTGGGCACTTGTGCAGTTGCTCAGGAGAGATTCAACGGACACACAGCTGATTAGCAGTGGGCCCACACCTAGGTTTTTGTTTCTACTGGTGGAGCACATTCACACATACCTTGGGTCACATAAATATTCCACACATGTATGCAAAAAATCCACACATGGACAGAAAAGATTAGAGGGAACATTGGTTATGTCACCGGATCTTTAAGGGATAGAAACCTGCTAAAATGATCACCTTCACTTTTCAGTCAGCTAACTGTGACACAATCATGCAAGGAAGTTTACTCACAACATAGTTCCTGAACCTCTGCTGGCAGTCCAGTGACTGAGAAGGCATTTCTTATCTGTGAAGAACTAATTGGATGGCTTAGTGACAAGTATTGTGCATTGTCAAGGAAGATTCAGTATTATCCAAAAGGAACTATGTATGTTACTCACTAATCCATAATTACTATAATATTTTTTAAAATTTATTTGCTTAAAAAAAGTTCAAGTTAAGATGTGAGTATTAATTTTCATTGAGGCCTTACTTTTTAACCCAGTTCTCTCTGGTTCTCCATCAGATGGAAGCACAAATAAGTGGATGGTTAAACGATTCCCCCAAGCAATAATCAGTTGCAAAGACAATGGCTCACTATGGAAGGATTTTAGTCCTTGTCTCTAATCATCACACCATCTGGCTTATATCACAAAAAGGAATGGAAACAGTGCTTTCTACACTTAAATGGTTCAAGCTAAAGAATTATTGGACAATTCATTATTTATATTGAGATGCTTGTCGTTCTTGCCAAATAGCCACACAACTGTAACTCTGTCTACTTTTCTGCTCTTATTTCTCATCATTCTCACCACCACCTCTAAGACTTCTAACTCTCTAAAGCAGGGGTTCCCAAACTTTTTGATACTGGGGACCAGTAAATCCATTCACGAGCTTTTGGAGGACTGGTAACATTTATTTCCATATTTGCATACTCATTAAGCAAATGATGAATATGCAAATAAATTGTTTCTGGTCCTCCCAAAGCCCCCAGTGCCAACAGAAAAGGCAGTCGGGGCCACACAAGTGATACACAAAAACACAACCCTTCCAGACCCCTCAAACCTCACTAATGTGACCCCAAATGTGCTTGTGGGTGCTGGTACAGAGTTCTGGGGAAGGGTGCCAGTGAGTGCTGGGGCACGGGACAGGGTGCTTGTGGGTGCTAGGGCAGGGTGCTTGGGGGCAGGGGAGGGGACAGGGAGTGATACCTGGGGATCCTGTAGCTGCCAAGGCCCAGGAAGTGTGTGGGCTGCTCTCCTGTCCCCCAAACAACGGCGCGGTACCTGACATGCTGGTCCGTTGCATGCCTGATGCTTTCCTGCGCAGGGGGAGAGGGAGTCCCAGACTGCGCCAGCCCCAACCACTTGGGCAGCGCGCACCTTGCTCTTCTGCTCCCCACGGCAGCCCGTGCCACCTGAGCAGCTGGAGCCGGCGCAGTCCCGGATTCCCACCCACTCCCCCAATCGCAGGAAGGCAGCAGGGGAACAAAGCCCCCAGCAAGTGATGGTATTACACCGGCTGTTGGGGGAGGGGGGAGAGCAGCCTGTCCCCCTGACCGCAGAGGAAGCCCGCGCTACCTCCGTTGACAGTGGGAGTTCAGCACAGCATTTATCTTGGGGGTTGCGGGCAGCGAGGCAGGCTCTTTCAAAAATTGTTCTGAGGCCCAATATTTTTTTCCTAAGGACCGATACCGGGCCACGGACCACAGTTTGGTAAACTCTGCTCTAAAGGATAAAGAGAGTGTTAAACAAATCCCCACTCTCAGCTCCACAAACAATTTACCACTGGGGGGACAGGGTGCATTCTGTTTTACATCCTGGTTCTGCAATATGATTCACATGGGCAGGCCCTTGGCATCTGCCTGCAATCCTACTACCATAAGTGAGACTCCCTCTAGGAATGAAAGGCTGCAAGGAATGGGCCCTTCTCAGACTGTAAACTCCTTCAGATGGTATCTTGTAACAATGCTTCATAAATACCATGAAGGGACTAGTGGTCAAATGTTTCTATGCAATGAACACAAACAAGAAAAGCAAAACTGTGGAAATTCAAAGCAATGCCTAACATGGTGTCACAAGGAGGAAGGAGAAAATTTGTTCCTCTTGGTTTCTGAGGACAGGACAAGGAGTAATGGGCTTAAAGTGCAGCAGGGGAGGTTTAGATTGGACATTAGGAAAAAATTCCTAACTGTCAGGGTGGTCAAATATTGGAATAAATTGCCAAGGGAGGTGGTGGAATCTCCCTCTCTGGAGATATTTAAGAACAGGTTAGATAGACATCTCTCAGGGATGGTGTAGACGGAGCGTGGTCCTGCCTTGAGGGCGGGGGGCTGGACTCGATTACCTCTCGAGGTCCCTTCCAGTCCTATTATTCTATGATTCTATGATTCTATGAACATTTGACTGCCTGTCAAACCATCAGTGAGACAGTGATCTCTGTATTCTGCAAAGCAATTCCTTCATTCAAACCCTCAAACTGACACTCGCTCAGTTTTCGCCTTCCTCTGTAGCATGGGGTACAGATCACAGCTAGAGGATTCTCTACATCTTGGGGTCTTCAAAGTATTTGAAGGCTTCAAAATCTGAGAAATAAGTGAGAGGATTATTCTGGGAGGGGTGGGTGAGATTCTGTGGCCTGCACTGTGCAGGGGGGTCAGACTAGATGATCATAATGGTCCCTTCTGACCTTGAAGTCTATGAGTCTTTGGGCAAGACACGTGAAATCTAGTCAATTTTTAAAAAGCGAGATAAAAGCATTTCAGATACTGTGTTTGTTCAAGTCCCCCTGCAAACTGCTGTGACTGTACAATAATCATTTTCTGTTTTTAAAACAAGCTTATCTTTCCCTTGTTGCTTTCTCTTGTTTCTCAATTCTGCAGTTGCCACTGGCATCTGCTTCCTACCAATGACAGGACTGTGGCCCCAATTCTTCAGACAGTTAAATATGTCCACATTTTTACTCACATGAGTAGTTCTACAGATATCAGTCTATTCACATGGGCAAATTCTCAGGGTGGTAAACATGTTAGTCTGTGTCTGCAAAACCAAGTAGGAGTCCTGTGGCACCTTAGAGACCAACAGATTTATTAGGGCCCGATGAAGTGGATTTTATCCACAAAACTTATATCCCTATTAGTTTCTTAGGCTATGTCTACACTAAACAGTTATTTTGGAATAAGGTATTCCAGAATAGTTATTCTGAAATAGCTTATTTCAAAATAGCATGTCTACACTGCAGGGAACCCTCAAAATTAGTCCGAGGCAGGTTTCCCTAATGTAAATGTGCTATCTCAATGTAGATTCCCAGGAGAAGTAACTTAGAATGGCCCTGGTGAGGGGCTATTTCGAAAAAGCAACAGTGGAGCATCTATCCATGCCTTATTTTAAAATAGCTATTTTGGAATAGGCATTATTCTTTGTAGAATGAGGTTTACAGAAGTCGGAATAAGCCATCTTTTATTTCAAAATTATTTCAAAATAACGGAATTGCTGTGTAGATGCTCGCATATTTATTTTGGAATAACAGCCATTATTCTGAAATAATTTTGCTGTGTAGACACACCCTAAGGTGTTACAGGACTCCTTGTTTTCACATGGGCAAAGTTGGCCCATGTATGCAATTGAAGGATTGGAGCCAATTCTATAGTGAAACTGTCAAATACACACATTTGTGCAATGGAATGCATAAAGTAAATACACTGAAAAAATGATTTTTCTCTAATAGTTGGCAGCTGTAGTAAATGTTATTTATAACAACAGTAGCTAAAAAAATTCAGATAGATATTAAATTGACAGTGTTCTTTTAAACTTGGTTTTGCTTTCCCTAATACTAATACTTCAATGGAGTATGCAACTCTTAGAATCATAGAATCTAGCACTGGAAGAGACCTCAAGAGGTCATTGAGTCCAACCCCCCTGCCCAAAGCAGGACCAACCCTAAATCTTATCTGTCTTCAGGGGGGGTTGTGCGGTTGCTTCCCATCTCTATGCTACATTACATTAATTAAGAGCAAAGCTTTCTCCTGGTATGTAAACACTAGAGTAAGCGTTTCTCCCCTTGGTATAGAATGCTTTCTGTGATGGATAGGAGTGCTGGCCACCACCCAGTGACTAAAGGGTTTAACGCAAGTAGCCAACAGAGGTGTTGGCAGGAAAGCCAGAAAAGCCAATGGGAAAGACTGTTGAAATTTTATTTGTATATAGATACCTAGCTGCTTCTTCCTTTGTGTGAGTTCTAAGTTAAGGGCTGGCGGGAGCAACATGTAGTAATCAGAATTACCATGCCTACAAAGATTTTTGGGCATGGGAGTAAACTGGACCCTGAAGTATGGACCCGCATGGATTGTGAGTGGAGAGAGGAATGTATGTTTAGTTGCCATCAGGATATTTTTCTTTGTTTCGTTTTTTTGGTTAAGTAAAATCCATGTGCTCTCCCTGACTCCTATTCACTATATTTAAGTTGTACACAGAGATACTATATTCTCTGTTTTAATTTATTTTTCTCAGTTGCTCTATAACACCTAGCAACCAAGTATGCTTTATTAATGGTATCTTCGAAGATGATGATTTGATTTTTGTGTCCTCGAAGTTAACAGGTCAGTGTGTGTGTTTTTGCCTAGCCTAAGAGGTCAGCTATAAAA